CAGAACTTAATTAAAACAAATTTTAATTATTTCTTGAACTTTACAACAGCTCCTGACAATGTAATCATCACTGGATGAACTTACACTTTTGTTTGTAACTAAGACCTTAAAAAGCAAAAGAAAACAGATTGGGGTTGTTAAAAAATAAAGAAAAAGCTACGTAAAACACCGAAACCATACAGCATCTTATTGTTGACCCACTGCTCAGCTGCAGCTACAACTTGAGACTAAAGTAAGGCATGTTAGCTATGATGCTCTTTGGTACATGACAATAGCACTTGTGCTCACTTCAGCAGCTCAGGGGTAGCTGAGGGAGCGTGCACCCTTCCAGGCCAGTGACCCCCCTCCCTGTTCAGCATGTTTTCTGCTCTCCAGTGTTACAGTACAACTATGGCATCCAGCAATGGAAAAATGTTCCACCCTTCATTTATTTCTACAAAGTTACATAAACTGTTTCCTCTGATGAAATTCCCAGGGGAAAATGTAGACAACTGTTCTCTTCACAGGGCTGAGAAAAAATATTATTTAAAATACCTCCTGGACACTATTTAATTTTGGAGGCATCAAAACATTTGGGAAACTTCACCCTAGATTCACCAATTTATTCTTGTTGAAAAAGAAAAAAAGACACAGTTTCACATTTTTAAGCTTCTTCAAATATGTTTATTTTTAACACTACTCCCTCAATGTTTTTTAAACAACTTATACTTGATTTGGGTCAGATAAGCATTAGATTGATCCAAAATCAGTTTCTCCCTCCCTTTGTTCTTTTTGGTAGGTAATGCCACCAAAACACAACCAATAACCACCAAAAACTAATAAGTCTGATGGTTACTTTAAATTATCTAACAGAAAAATATCTAAGCTATTCTTTTTTTTTTTTTTTTTTTTTTGGCATTTTAGAACCTTCCTTTATTTCCCCAAATCCTCCATCTCCTTCTCCACCTTTTATGCATACAAATATGTACTACAACCTGTTCTCTTAATCCTACTATCTAATGCTATCTCTGCCATGTAACATTACATTATATCTATTTGAGAACCTCTTTCTAAAGTATTCTGTCCTTTTTTTAATCATTCTAAATATAAGTATCTACACAAAGACCAGATTCTTCATGGGTATTATTCTGACATGTGAAGTGTGGGAGGAGGTCTCTTTCTAGACACTGAGTAAAACGCAAACTATGCCATTTATGTCATATTGTGTGTCTAGACATCACCAGCATGTTGAAACTAGTCTGTTACACACACTGTTGTGATTACATCATCCAAGGACAGATAATTAAAATTTATCTATAATCATACATGAAGTCTCTTTCTAGTGAAATCTTTCTAGTTTCTAAAGATGAAGATGAAATATGATTTCACTAAAGACAAAAGTATTGTCTTCTTTTCAATACCTGAGTTCAAGCACAGTCAAGGTTTGTGCTGTGCTTGAAGACTTCGTGACATCCCACATTATTTACACCACACTGGCGAGGTCGTTTTTTTAACCTGTTATAAAAAGTTGCTAGATTTTTACTGTGGCCTTTCAAAATTACCTTTTTAATTTGACTTCATTCATTAACATACTTTTGGTCTCTGATGATTTCTCTCAGTTTGAGAAAACTTCTAAGATGTATTTTGAGCAGCATATCTGGAACTTGTGAACAGCTCCAACTGCCTACACGATGGTTGCTCAAGATCAGAAACTGTTCACATGTTTAATGAGGGTATTCTTTGCTTAATACATTGATTAACTTAAAAAATATTATTTCAAGCAGATCAAAATATAAGTTTGAGGAAGTATGCCCAAACACCCACAGTCATCAAAGGCCACTAATATCATAACAAAATAAACACAAATTAGTGTAGAACAAAATAGAAATAGATGGCATAATTATAATAGTATTTTATCATAATTAACTCAAATGACTTTTATTATTTTTGCACTCTTGTAGTATCTGGGTGGCTGATGATAAGTCACACTGCAGCTTATGGGAAGAGAAAAAAAACCAACAAACTCCTGACTTAGATAAGTTAGGTAAGTGCTGGGTATGGATGCCTCTCTCTTTCATGGTGAAAAGGGTGACAGCAGGGAGACCTAGTGGTGAGCCATACCTTCTCAAAGAACTTGTCAGAAGCTTAACATACAAACAAACTGCAGAAATAAAAAAAGGGTTTAGAATCTGTACTGCTTTGGTTTGGCAGGTTTTTTGGTAATGGGGGAAAGGCCCCAGGGGTGCCTCCAGTGAGAAGATAAGAAGCTCCCCCTGCTCCAAAATAAACCAAGGAACCATTAGGGAGACAATGGATGCACCTCAGGGATTAATATATGAAAGAACTGAGATAAGAGCTGAGCAGAGTCAGCAGCTAAAGTAGAGCTGAGCTGGAGAGGTGGAAGCAGTGCTGGGGTGAAAATCCCCATGGTTGGTAAGGAAGAAGGGGAAGAAGGTGCCAAAGCAGAAATTTCCCTGCAGCCCACGATGAGATGACAGCTGTCCACCAGCATTCATGGAGGAACGTGGTGGAACATTCCCTGAAGGCGCCAGATTGGGCAAATGTGGACCAGCAGCCCCTGAACTTGGATTATGCAGCTTTGGAAGCCCCCAGAGCCAGGGGAGGTGCCTGTTCCCTGAGCAGCCCATGACTCTGTGGGAAGCCCAGGCTGGAGCAGCTCCAGAGCTGGTGGGAAGGACTCATGAAGGAGAGGTTCCTGGAGGACTCTCTGCCATGGGAGGGACCCCATGGGGAAGCAGGGCAGGACTGTAAGGAATCCTTCTTCCAGAGGAGGAAGGAGCAGCAGGAACCACCAGCCTGTGACCTGACTCTAAACCCCATCCCCATCCCCCTGTGCCGCTGGGGGGAAGGAGGGAGAGAAACCGGGAACAAAGGGATTTGGGGCTGGGAAGAAGGGAGGGGTGGGGGTAACATGTGCAAGCCCTGCTCTGTGTGTGTCTGTGTCCTGTGTGGGTTTCATGAGTGTGAAATGAAATTATTATTGTCCCCCAAGTTGAGTCTGTTTTGCCCGGGACCTTAATTGGTGAAGATCCCTCCTTGTCCTTTGTCTCAACCTATGAGCTTCTAGTTGGGCTTTGTTGCCCCATCCCAGTGTGTGTGTGTGGGGGGTGAGCTGAGTGAGTGGCCATGGGGTTGGTTCTTTGTTGTCATGTTAGGACCAAACCATGACAGAATTGTACGTCTTGGGTTGGAAGTGAACTCTAAAGGTCACCTAGTCCAACCTCCCTACAATAAGCAAGGACGTCTCACGCTAGAACAGACTGCTAAGAGCCTCATCAAACCTGACCTTGAATGTGGATGGGGCCTCCACCACCTCTCTAGAAACCTGTTCCAATGATCCACCACCCTCATATTAAAGACCTTTTCCTAATGTCCAAAGTAAATCTACCCTTTTCTAGCTTAAAACCATTACCCCTTGTCCTGTAGTTATATGCCCTTGCGAGCAGCTCTTCCCCAGCCTTCTTTTAGGTCTCTTTCAGGAATTGGAAGGTTACTCTAAGGTCCCCCCAGAGTCTTCTCATCTTCAGGCTGAACAACCCCAAGTCCCTCAGCCTGTCTTCTTAAGAGAGGTCCTCTAGCCTTCTGAACTTTTTTGTTGGCCTCCTCTGGACATGCTCCAACAGGTCCACATCCATCTTATGTTGGGGGCACCAGAGCTGGACGCAGCACTCCAGGTAGGGTCTCACCAGGGCAGAGCAGAGGGACAGAATCACCTCTCTCCATCTGCTGGCCACACTTATTTTGATGTAGCCCAGGATGCAGGTGGCCTTCTGGGCTGCAATGCAATTTCATTCACTAGTGCCCCCTCAGACTTCCAAAGCAAAGTAGGAGCCTTTCTTGCCCACATCTGTACACCCTACAGATTTCCAGTTCTTACCTTTCAAAAATTCTTAAAGTCATGTTCATCTGACTAGAAAATAGATAAAACACCAGGTAAGCTGTAATCAGCTACAACTACTCAACCTGACCTACAGACACAGAGTATTATGTACTTAGAACAGAATGCCTGTGATCCATCTACAGATCTGGGGGGAGAAAAGCATATAAAAATTAAAGCCTGGGAAAAAACCTCTGTAAAGACTGTATCTGAGGAATGTATTTCTTTTCACAATGGAAACATGCTTTGCTTATTTAAGGTATGCTTTTCATCATGACTTCTCATTATCAAGTGGAAGGAGTCAATACAAACATGTGACATGAAATCTGTCCCTTGCAACACTACAGTATCACAGTGGGACACAAAGTCCAGAACACTCCAAAACCAGCAAACTTAAGTCAGTTAATCCTTATTGAAGTTTTAAGTTTTCCCAACACTTAGAGCTTAGACATCTATGCGCGAACTAAAACCACCCCTAGAGATAAAGGGAAGATTTCATGATAGCCTGCTCTTTTGCATGGCTCGTCTTCTTCATCATGTTTTAAAAAAATCTTCCTTCCCACAAACAAGAGAATGCAACGACAATTTCAAACACAAATGCTGATGAATAACTAAATATGTAGAGTTTTTTAAAACCACAATGAAAATGCTGGACAACTTTGTGAAAAAAATGCAAGCATTTTCATACAGAACAAAACTTGTTCAGAGAAATTTCTTTTTTTCAAAAGTCTGAGATACTCAAATGGCAGCACAGGTTCTGCACAATTTATACTCTATACTCTTTTTGGTTGCCTGAGCAAAGCTTTACGAGTTCTTGGATATGGTGCTCTGCCTCTCAAATCTGCCAGCACAACCTTGAGTATTTACAGTTTTTCACCACTTTCATAAGTAATCATACAGTGGAGCTGCCCAAGTTTTAAGACTCCTCCTTCCACTCCCAGTTTCCTACAGTGCGCATAGTTTCCACGCCTGCGAATCACAGAAGGGACACACCAACCACAGAATTGGCCCTTTTCTCCTTCCAACCTCATCTACTCCTCCTCTACCCACAAAACGGAAAGGCAAGGCCAAGTCCCTCCACAGTGGAAACTCTCATTGTCCTTCATGACCATCTCTTTTGTACCTGACCATCCTGGGAGACAGCGACAGTAACCCGTGGTGGGATGACAACCGTCCGCGTGGCTGCAGTCACAGCGTTCAGCACAGTCCAGACCGTATGTGCCGTCCTGTGGCAACAAACAAAGAACAAACAAATCCCAACAATCCAGAGATGATGACCACAGGGAGTTAGAGGAGAACAAGTTCTGGTCAGCCTGCCTCAAAAAGCAAAGACAGATCTCTCCTGAATCTGTAATCCTCTTTCTTAACATAAAACACTTCTAGATTTTGGAACATTTTAGAGTCCTATATTTTCATTCTTTCTTTTAAGAGAAGATAAATAATTACATTTTCTTGACAAATCCCAGACAAGAGACCTGGGATTTAACACAGCAGCCTACACTATCAGAGGCTGCAAGGAAAGCTCTTTTGTTTTGTCCCTTTAATTTTCCTTAGAGCTGAATTTCTGCTCCAGGATGAGAGGCTCCCTGGATGGGAAAGCAGTTCAGTCTCCTTTCAGCGTCAGACCCTGAGCTCTCTATGTATTGGTCAGAAAGGATACCAAATAAAGCCACAACTTCTAAAATAGAGTAGCAGAACATTAGATTAAAATATGTCTTCAGTGTGAAGTTTATTATATAAACAATGCAAACAGTATCACTTTCTTTTGACTAAAAATCCTTCCCTCTGCACTAGAGCACACACAATGTTAAAAAGAGAAACTCTGTGGCTATGACGAAGTACACAAGACAAAATTATTTTTCAGCTATGCAACATTTTTTTATCCAACAAGAGAGATTAAAGAACACTCCTCTTTGTGTATTCAGCTGTGCCAATAGAGCACAGCTGATTTTCATGAAACTATATCTAAACATTTGAATTTGCCTTTTCTGCTTTGTCATTAGAAAGTGGCACATACATTTTTGGGTAATTCCACACAAAATCAATCTGAGAAACAGGAAACAGGGAATTTTTACAATTGCATTCTCAAAACAAGGCCAAGTACAACAGTAAACTGATGTTAAAGATGAGTATGTCAAAAAACAAATTTAAAAAAATAGAAAAAAAACAGTACAATTTAAGGTAATACTTCTGGGCTTACCCAGAACAAAGGTAAAAAAAGGGAAAAAAACAGGTGAGGTTTAAAACCAAGTAATTAAAATTTAAGGGTAAAAATTCATCTCAGACACATAAAAAATCAGGATGCAGCCTATATAAAAAATTAATCTGATCTTTGATGTCCATGCCTACATTTCTAGCAACTGCCACATGATTTATCTGTTCAGTTCCTGGTCTTTCAAGTCTAAAGTAGAAAAAATCTTAAATTACTTGAGTGCAAGGAGCCTTTTTCTCATCCCAACAATTAATTTTTATATAGAGAAAAAGCATTAAGCATTTCCTTTGCATATAATCAGATACTGAAAGAAAGGAAATAATCAAATATGTCCTTGAAAAGTGGTATTTTTAGTCTGCTACATATTTGGACTGCAGTAAAAACTTCAGTAAAATCCTGAGTAACCACCTAGACATTGGTATTAATTTTCTGTAGTTATTGAAACAAATTAAAAAACATTGATTTCATAAACTCCCTGCTCAAGCAATAAAAAGTTTTCAGACAACACTGGACACATTTGATTTAATTTTCTGTTTATTATCCTGCTCTGGAATGTTGAGGCAGAATATGCATTTTAAATACGTAAATTCTTCCGGACATCATTTGACACAGATGGAGAGAGAGCCAGCAAGATGATGGGTATGGGCATGCTAAACTATCAGATATAGAACTGTTTTTAATCATTATTTTGCCAAGTTTGGAACAGTGAAGCAAATGCCATGAAGCAATACCCATCTTTTTTAATAAGTCAGTTTGGAAGAACTAATGGGGCTTGGGAGATCTCATCAACCTTCAGAATCAGACACTAAGTGACAAACAAAGATGCTGTAGAAAAAAGAAAAAATAGTCTTCTGATGGAGCTACATTGTTGAGAACACTGCATAAATGTGCGCAGATGGTACTCTAATCAGCTTTCCAGAACATTATAGAATTTGTTTGCCACTTTACTCACTATATCAGTGTATGCTATACCCCAACTTAAAACCAACGCCCCCAAAAAACCCAACTTAGATACCTACTCCTGTCATGTTATTGGTCAGAAGAGCTAGTCCTAACTGACAGAAACTTGAATGTGGTAAGAAAGGGGAATTCACAAGGTTTATTTTCAGTTTAGGTGACTCCTTTACAAAGATATTATACCAACAATCTGCTATGCAAATAGTATTGTAAAAGTGAAGAAAACACAGTGGAGAGGGGAAAAAAAGCAGAGAGAAGTGTATTTTTTAAATGATGTTTGTTAAAAATTCCCCACAAAAACTTGTCTATCTTTGAAAAAGATAGAAACGCTAATTTTTCATAAAATATTTCACTTTTTGTGTATAAAACGTAACGTAAACCATTTACATAATAATACAAAGCACTTTTTGATTTTAATATTTTTTAAATGTTGAAATTATCTTTTTTTTATGGCTTTGCTAAACTACAAAGTGGGAAAGAACTGATGAACAGCATGCCTTTGTCAACACAACTATTTCTGATTTCTCAAATTATACTTCTAACTTCAGTTACCAAAGTCTGGGACATAGTGGAAGTCAGAGCCCCAGCAGAAAGGTGAAGAAGAAAGACCCATCATGAGGCTTGGTAGTCAGAATGCCTTCTCATGTTTGACCGAGAAGGCATGAAAGTTCTTCATTCATACTGTACCACAGATACAACATTATTTAATTGAAACTATGTTGTCTGATGTGGCATTTATTTTTTGCACATTTCTTTTCTCACCATTTTTACTTAAAGTAATTTAGCAGATGCAGTTTGGATAGTGTTTGGTGCTGATAGAGAGGGAAAATTCTGTTTCCCAACAAATTTAAGAGGAGCTGGTGAAAAGTTTGAGGTGCAACTTTAAAGTGTGAGAGTAGAAAAAGTGTTCATCTGTCCCTCTTCATTTTCTGCTGTCGTTTTTATGCACTCTGGTGTGCTTTACAACAGAGCTCTTCCAGAAGAAGTTGGTGCAGGTCCCTGATCTTGAACACAGCCATGTGTGGGCTACCAGGTGCAGTGCTCCTCCTAAGGACTTATCCCCACAAAGACAGAAGAATGACAGGAGCATCTGCCTGCTCAGTATTATCCTACAGTGCAAAAGTCAGTGAAATTATTAAACTACCTGGCAAGGGAGTTCGCATTTTTCTCCTCTCCAGCCCGGGGCACAGGTACAGGTTCCATCCAGAGCATTGCAAGCTCCTCCGTTAAGACACTGGCAAGTTAAGTTACAGCCAAGTCCCCAGGTACCACTGGGACAATTTATTGAGCAATCTACACCATGCCAACCTGCCAAAAGTAAGAATTAGAGTGACAAATTAATTAGGTTTTCCCTCATTCCTCTCTGAGAACAAGTTTCCCTCTGCCTGCCATGTGGCATCTCAGAGACGCACAATATAGGGGTCAGATTAACTACAGGCTAGTGTCAGCAGTTCCAGCTGAGGGCTTGTCCAGGTTTGAACAGAGGTGCTCAAGGGCACCTTGTAACATCTGTGCACAGTAATATTTGCAGATGGGTGCCAACATACAAAAGCAATTGATGTGAGATCTGAAATGAAAACAGAGACACCTTGAAATTTCACTGAGAAGAACTAAACCACACTGAAAGTTCTAAGGTATAGCCTGAAAAAAATCAGGAATATTTTATCCAAACTTCAGCTGCTGCTTTCGTCATTCTCCCACCAGTGTTCAATACAGACAGTTCTGCAATATGGCTTTAACAGAAATCTTATGCACACACAAAAAAAGAAAACTTAAAAGTAGTGCATAAGTTGTATTTTTCCGAGGACACATAAAAGACCTTTTAGATTATTTCTGCGCGTCTCTCCAAATAATAATAAAAAAAAATATTTAAAAAAAAGTAACAGAAAGTGGTTCTAAAATGCAGGATTCACCACTGATTACAATGATTTGCAGATTGTGCACCAGACAGACAGAAATAGAAATAGATTTTTTTTAATGTGAACATGTACTGGATACAAAAGAAATGGCATGAATCAGTCATATGTTATCGTCAGCAATGACATAAGGCAAGTTTCTAATTTTGTACCTTGTTTACAGTAAGCGAAGGGAAAAATATTTATGCACTGATCCTAATCAATAGACTGTGCAAAACACATGTATTGAAATGAAGCTGCCTCATGCCCTGGATTGGTAACTTTGATTTTAGGGGTCATTTCAGGAAAAAAATGTTATATTGTACTAGAAAACTGACACTTTCTCTCAGTTGTCTTTTCAGGATTTCTGCATTTCCCTCATTTACATGACAAGGATTCAGGTTTAGTTTTAATTTCTTTTTTCATGGTAGTATGAGTAAAACTGCACAATGCATGAGAAGATAGGATTATGCATGGTTCAAGGAATATTTTTTCTCTATACAGCTTAGCTACTTAGCCACTTTAACAGAGTTAAATCAGCCCCACTGTCTCTGGCAAGAGCAGAAGCTGGAAACTCTTCACATTCGCTATATGACTGATTTGATTTTATTGGTCCCTGAAAAATGTAGTGGCTATTTGTCTAGGTAACTCTACCACTTCTCCTTCACTCTCAACCTCCACGAATTTTTAGAAAAACTTTTTTAGATGGGGGTGTCTACAATATAGTCTGGGCACGGGATTTGCTTGGGAGCATTCAACAACCTGCCCCTCTCTTCTCAGCAATCCAGCATCACAGCTGAGGGACAGATAAATGGCATGCTGGTCCTTCTAGCAGACCACAGCACTGTCAGAGGAGACAAGTGGTGAACCATCTCAGGGTAAACACTAGTAATTCACCCAGCCACATTATATAGTCCAATGAGAACTGTGTTGGGAAAACATGAACAAGAGGTACATTTTTGCTTTTGCCTCTCACAGCAGCAGAAGCATAAAGTATCTAGTTACATGGCCTCCAAGGTAGTCTGCTTTTTATTAAGTCTCTTTCATCTTCTCTACTTCAAAAACTCACTTTACAGAAAATTACAGAATTACAGAAAAGGAAACACTCTGAAGAGACACCTACCTGCTTTGCAGGCACAAGAACCATCTACTGGTGAACAGATAGCTTCATTTTTGCAGTTGCACACAGATGAACAGTTTACGCCGTATGTCCCAGGAAGACAAGGAGTACCACAAGCAGCCCCCTGAATTATACAAAAATATAGTCTAAATCTATCTGAAGAGGTTCAAACAATGCAACTCATAACTTACCTAGACTGAACTCAGGTGCTACAAAAGCCAGAAAACACAAAGCCCACGGCTCTCCTAGGCTGTCACTAAATTACTCTGATATTAAGGGAGAAAGTTCTTCATGCTTTTTAAATCTACAGTAAGCATTAGTTTTCTATTAGTTGCTGTGAGAGCTGAGGTCAAGTAGGTAACAGCACTTGTTTAGGTCAATGGGCAATGATTTCAGTAATAAAGAAGCCCTTTGTGACACAAAGGAAGACAGCTGCTAAACTGAAAATAATGTGGATATGTAAAATATTTTTTTAAGAATTAATTGGGCTGATCTTTTCACAGTTACTATTCCTGGAAGAACATAGAGCAAAAAGTTTTCTGTGTTAGATTAGCATCCAATGTATATGTAATAGCAAATGTCTGTAAAGGCTGTGGAATAATCTGTCCTGAACTACAAGAACAAATGACTTTGTCAAGAGTTTCTCTGGATGGAGCATGATGAGTTGGTGCAACAAAACAATTTCTGAAACCTGTTGTCTTCTCTTCATCTACACCTCAATAGCATACCCTCATTCTAATCTATGTCTTGCAAAGCAACTAACATTTTTTTCCTTAAAATTACTTCACTTCAATATTGTGTCTTATAACAGACCCAGTAATAACTAAATATCCCTAGCTCTCTCGATTACTGTGGAGGAGAAAGGACACTGTGGCATCCTGAATAATTTGGCGCTTAACTAAGGCAGTTGAGTCAAAAATGGATTGTGAAAGTGAGACTTATTTACCTTAAATCCAGGGGCACAGGTGCATCTTCCAGTCACACTGTCACAGTCAGCACCATTTTGGCAGCTGCAGATCTGCTGACACGACTCGCCATAGAATCCCGGGGAACACGTCTCATTGCAGTAGAGTCCAGACCAGCCAGGCTTGCAGGAGCATTCCCCAGACATAGGGTGACAGCTGCCAGGAGGGGATGAAAGAATAAATAATTCAGGACTAAATGTGATATCAGTATTTTATTTTATTTTTTTTTCAAGAGAACAAAATGCTGTTATAGATAGGTTGCATAAAGGATTTTGCATGTTATACACAGAGATAGTTTTCCTCCCCAAACCACAAAGCAAAGGGTTTTGTGTATGTATATAGAAATGCACATCAATTAAGATAAGAAATGTAACATCATGCAATACACAAACATTTTGGGAGGACATGGAAAGAAAAGAAGGGGCATCATTTTTCTGTAGCTAGTTTAAAGGAAACCTATCGGAAACACAGGTTTTACTATAAAATAGATAACCATGGTTACAAATATTAAGGTGATTAAACCATTAAATTCCCCAAAATTTATTGTTAGTTTTCCACTCTAAGCATAACTGGATCATTTTCATAACACTACCCAAATTCAGCAGCCTATTGTCTGAGAAATACAATGCTTTGGTAGAATAGCATGGCCTCCAACACATAGTAATAACATAGCACCCAAGGAGTAGCAGACACTCTCTTTTCTCTACATCACTAGTTGAAAAACTGGAATCTTTCCAGGAACCATACAAAATTATTTGCATTGTGCAGAAGTCAGATATACCATCAGAGCAGTGGCCTTTTGGAAAGTATCTTCCCTATGTTGGCCATACCTGGTGGCAGACCAGCTGTCCCTACCTGGAACAGCAGTTTCATTGAAGAGCCAGTCAGACAGCTGTTGCCTCATAACAAATGGACATCATCAGCTGTGCAAAGATGTATGTGCTGGAAAAGCGGACACAATGGGGTACTCTGTAGTGCTCTGGCAGACAAAGAACTCGCTTAATTCTCACCAAAGGAAAGCCTTAATATCCAAATCCAATATATTTACAATGGGAAGACTGTTTAAAGATATTTGTCTGCCACCGATTAAAGTTAAGTTCCTTTAAGTGTGCTGGGGGGGGAAGTGTCTTTGTCCAGACACATGAAATGACCCATGACAAGGGCCTGATTTTGCAATATTTGCTGACTCCTTGTGTGGGTGTGTTTTTTAAACTGAGTATTTTTCTGAGCTTTTGGCAGTTTGAAGAAATACCTACTGCACTTTTAGAAGCTATAACATAAGTAAAAACAATATTCTTTGAAACAGTTGCAAAATAACAAGGGAAGTATGAATTATAAAGGTTGGCATGTCATTATGTGTTCTACTCTCTATGTATTATTGCATACACTAAGACATCACAAGGATTCGGGGGTCTTGAAAATATTAATGTTCAACAGTATTAAAACATATTCAACAGCATTAAAAGTGAGCATAAAGGTCTTTTCAACTAAATGATAGATGCAGAAAGGGTTCAAAACTTATGGTGTTCATAGGCAATAGTCCTATTTATTCATTCAGTTATAAATACGCCTGCCATGAAATCTGTTGAAATGGAACAATTCTCATATAAAATACATGCAAAATCATGAAAACACATGATACAGCAAGGTAATCAGGCTTGCCCCCTATTCCTAATTGCTTATAGGCACCTACTGGCATTTTGAATCTAATTCCCATGTGTCTTACCAGTGGAAGAATACAGGGCAGGGAATATGAAATGTTTTTCAGTCCACAACTGAATACGCATCAGGACATGAATTACAGTATGTTCATAACATAAAATTGGTAGTACTGTCATTTTAAAAAAATAAATCTCACACTTGTCTGTCATTGAGGTTTTCTTCCTTTCAGGACAGGGGAAGGCCACATGCATGAGCAAGCACTGGGTATAAAGCAGAGGCATTGATATTCTGTGCCCCCCGGTGAGTGTTACTAAGGCATACTTGCACATATATTGATTGACACCAAAATTACTATTCCATGATTTGTAATTAGATTAGGAAGCTGGAGCACTTCTGAAGCTTTTTGATGGGTTCTTGTGCAGATAGCTTAATTGGCAATAGGATTTATATATTAAGATAGGGAAATAAAGAGATGCTTAGAGATACTGCTAGTACAACTGCTTTTATTCCTCGTCTTTTGTTAATACTTTCTGGAAATGCAACCCTTCTCTGTAGAGAGACAAAAAAATACTTGTGGGTAGTTGATATTATATATTTGAAAGACTTAGATGAACTTACTAATTTTCCTATGATTTATATAGGTTTTTCACTGTTACAATATCCACGTAAATTCTGTAGCACCCTATGCAAAGCAAGATTTCCATCAAAAGCTCTTCTACATGCACATACAAGTCCATTAGAAAAACAGAAAATTGCATGGTGCCCTAATCTTAACTTTAAAAACACGCTCAACTAAATGAAAACCATGTATCACACCATAAAATTTCACTCAACCCTATATAGGTATCTCAGAAGAAACATGAGACAGAAGAAACCCCATTAGATCTCATGTATAAACCCAGCCTGAACTATACCAAATTAGCTGGCAATACAGAACAACGCCAGCTGATCTTACCTAGAGGTGTAAACCAGTGGTGGAAGATGATAAAAAAAGGCTCACCAAGAAAAAACAGAACAGAACAAAACAAAACAAAGCAAAACAGGGACATCTCATATTTAGCTTTGAGATCAAAACAAAACTAGCCCATGTGCTCTAACACAGGTTTGACAAATGTTCTTTGTAAACCTTACAGATTAATATGCAGTTACAGTCTGCCCTTTTTACATTTTCTGAATGATTATCAGGTGTAACAAAGCCTGGCTCACAAGTGGCTTAGGCTAGAATATTCCTGTACAAAATTATATTGATGAAGGCAGATTGAGATCTTTTTTTGCTCATTCCTGCAGACTGGAGCCTTAGAACAGCAAGTTTCTATAAGCCTGTTCTGGTTTGGTTTGGTGGGTTTTGTGGTAGCAGGAGAAGGGCCCCAGAGGTGGCTCTGGTAAGAATCTGAGAGGCTCCCCCTGCTCCAAACCCAGCCAAGGAGCCACTAGAGGGACAATAGATGCACCTCAGTGATTAACATACGAAAGACTCAACATAACACCTGAGCAGAGAAGCACTTAATTGGCAAGAGCTGTGCTGGAGAGGGAGAGCTGTGCTGGTGGTTGGTCAGGAAGAAGGGGAAGAAGGTGCCCAAGCAGAAGTTTCCCTGCAGCCCATGGCCAGATGGCAGCTGTGCCCCTGCACTCGTGGAGGAACCTGGAACATTCCCTGAAGGAGCCAGGAGGGGTGAGCTTGGACAGTGGACTTGGATTTTGTGGCCAGAGGATTTGCTGCCAGTGGACTCTGATTGTGCAGCTTTGGAAGCCCCCGGAGCCAGGGGAGGTGCCTGTTCCCTGAGCAGCCCATGACCCTGTGGGAAGCCCAGGCTGGAGCAGCTCCGGGCCTGGTGGGAAGGACTCATGAAGGAGAGGTTCCTGGAGGACTCTCTGCCATGGGAGGGACCCTGTGGGGAAGCAGGGCAGGACTGCAAGGAATCCTTCTTCCTGAGGAGGAAGGAGCAGCAGGAACCACCAGCCTGTGACCTGACTCTAAACCCCATCCCCATCCCCCTGTGCCGCTGGGGGGAAGGAGGGAGAGAAACTAGGAACAAAGGGATTGGGGGCTGAGAAGAAGAGGGGGAGGGGGCAACATGTGCAAGCCCTGCTCTGTGTGTGTCTGTGTCCTGTGTGGGTTTGATGACTGTGAAATTAAATTGTTATTTTTTTTCCCAAGTTGAGTCTATTTTGCCTGGGACCTTAATCAGTGAAGAACCCTCCTGGTCCTTTGTCTCGACCCATGAGCTTTGTCCTCCTCATCCCAGAGTGTGTGTGTGGGGGAGCTGAGTGAGCGGCCGTGGGGCTGTTCCTTGTGTTGGGCCCAAACCACAACAGAGCCAAACAAACAGTGGATGGAAGAGGCAGGAACACAAGGGTCTGCTCATACCAGTTCACAGAGCTGCTGTTGTACTCCCCTGAGGAAGTATGGTTTATGTGGTCTTAGTCTCAGCCAGATAGTGGTTAGTCTAGTTCTTCTTGACTACCAAGTGAAAAGGAAAAAATCAATAGCCTCTCCTAGTCATGGAGGTCTGTCTCTCATTTGCCCTCTTGCTCAAATTCTTTCATATATACCAAAGGACACAATAGAGAAGAACCATTTGTAAAAAAAACTCTCGACCCAAGAGGGCTGTTACCTGCTGCTGTCCTCTGGGCCCCTCAAAAAGAATAAAACCTGTCAAGTATCTCTAAACCTTTATGAAGCATTTCATAAAGGCTGCTCATACAACTAAGAACAAGGATGGGCTTGCCTTTCATCCCCAGGAGATGCCATCAACCAATGCAGCAGCAAAATCCTTGTAGCTTAGACTACCCAAAAGACAAATGCTGAATTATTGCCAGAGTTGTTTTAATTTGATTTCATCAGTCATAAAACAGTAATATAAATACGTATACTCTTTTCAATTATAGTGTGTCATAATGTTTTTGAATCTTCAAGTATTTGAAGAAAATGGCTAGACACATGCTTGTATACTGCAACTTATGTACATATATTTTACAGCAATATTTTTTGGTGCTAAGTATTTTTTTAACTAACCTTTAGTCCATTTCCACATCTATGAATACTATGATCCTACATAATAACTTAGGGCTCTAAGCCTACCAATAGCTCCTCTTCAAGAAAATCTAATCTAGTCATCATACACAGATGAAAAATGCTTTTGCAGTATCAAAACCCCTAGTCCTGCAGACACACAAGGTGTATTTGAAAAAGAAATTGAACCTCCTTTTTCGTGCCTCAGAATTATTGGTTGTTAGATTGCTGCTAAATGCGTTAGTGCCATGAGGAGTATCCTTGGGCTACAGCCAGACCAAACAGTACCTGTGATAGGCAAGTAACAGGTGAGGACATTCAGTGATGTGCTTAATAAGTTGTCTCCTGGCTGACTTATATTTAGTGAGAGATTAAGACAGCCAGACACAACTGGCTACTCAGAAGATTCTCAAAAGAGTAAAGAGTCCTCAGGGAGCTTTGTCTTCTGTGCCATTACTCAGATGCTCTTTGATTTCTGTTATTTGTTGGTCTTAATCACTTCCTGACTGAGGGGTAAGGAACATATGGTGTACTTTACATAAAATATGTAAAATACACCTATGAATTCATTAAAACCCTTGTCTTCCTCACAGATCATCATGCCCTTGGAAATACACTCTTAAACAGAACTCTTAAGTGCCTCTCAATGTGTCATTCAGAGGGGAAAATGTTCAAAAAAAGGCGAGCCACATGCTGCTGTTTACATGTGAACATTTGTGATCAGATTTGACCACAGCCTGTCTTCCAGTGGTATAAATGAAGGAACAGCTGTTTTGAACATGAATCAGAAGTAATCCCTGTAATATCAGAAATACTATACTGTGTAATGCGTTCCTGTCAAACAAGGCTGTTAGAAATCTCTGCAGACAAATCTGCAGGAAGGCAGCTAACCATAATTCATAACACAATAGTATTTGGTCTACTAGCATAACTTGAGAGCTAGCCAGATCAGCATTATGGTGCCATTTATTCTTGAATGAATTGCTTGATTTTATGTCAAAAACTCTGCATTTTTTTCAAAAGACACTTCAAGGAAATGGGATAAACAGAAGTACATGCACACAACTATGAAAGCATATGGAAAGAAAAAATAATTCAGTTTGCTGTCACATGAAAGGTATGTTTGAAAAATTCAGACAATCCACAAAGTAATTTTTCACAGAGGCCTAGCAGAATAGGTATCTCCACGTATGTACTTGAGTGCTTTAACATCACTGCTAAATTCTGACTAATGGCTTTTGTTTTATGTATGAAAAAAAAGTGCATCTTATATACAAGATACAGCAGGATTCTGTGAAACAGCCAATAGTTTCTGCAAATTTCTTTCACAGCTATTTCAACAGCAAAAAATTAGATTATGCTCACACACCTTATCTAAGGTACTATGATTAGTAATGTAATTAAGTGTAAGTGAATGTGTAAGTGAATCCACAATGATCAAAGTATTTTGTAAGAGGAACTGTGTTTTGTAACAAGAGAAAGCTACCCAGAATTGTTCTACAAATATGTTGGCTCGCCTCTACTGACATCTGACATTCCTTCCTCACAGCTGAAAGTTTGTCTCCAAATAGCTAGTTTTTTATATTTTTCATAACAACGCAGTGAAACACTGTGAAGTCCACAACAACACAATAAACTAAAAAACCAGGACTCATTACTGCCTGAATAAAGAGAGGCTGGTAAAAGGTGGGCCAGTTGGAAAACTACTAATCACTCACTTTCCAGGGATCAGATTTTGCCTCCTTTCACTACAGCAATTCTTATATACAACTACAGAGAGATAGAAAGAAAAATGGACTCTTCTCCCACGCCTGACTCATAAGACTATACGTCTATTGATTTCAATTCAGTTATTTCTCATCTGCAGCACACCAGAATGTGTGAGCAACGGATGATGTATACTGACTTTACACAGTGAACAATATAATGGTTTATTCATGTGGTATAGACAAAAGTCACACTTTGTCTTAGCATTTATTTCATGGGTCAGAGACAAAATACAGTGGTCAGTATTTACATAAAATATAGTTGCAAACACTGAAATTCAGAAGCTCTTTTGGATTGATATTTTCCTTCTTGACAGGGTTAGAGAATACAAAATAGTCTAACATTACATGTTCAATTTGAATGAAAGTACTAGTAAAATCAGGAAATACTTGTTTTCAGATTTTTATGTTCTACATAGAAAAAAGAAATCAGGATAAAGGCCTACCTCCAGGTATTGGGCATGTGGCAGGGACACTTTTTATCACACTTGAGACCATAAATTCCCTCAGGACAAAGCCTTGTCTCGCAGTGCTCTCCAGTGAATCCTGGTTCACAGAGACAGGCACCACTAATATGGTAACATTTCCCACCATTCACACACTTGCAGGTCTCAGCACATCGCACTCCGTAAGTCCCCACTGGACATTCATCTTGGCATCTGTGAGAAGAACAAACAAACAAAAAATAGTTTTATTTCCCATAAACTACAGCTTTTGGAAATTTAAGGGAAATATGGTTTATACGGAATCTCTTATACTGGTCTAAAATGCCTCTTAAATAGAGCAGGAATTTATAAAACTGCATATTGTAAAGTGCTTCTCTCTGGTTTCTACTGCTGGACAGGCTTAAAAACATTGGCTCAGCAAATTCATTTGGAAAACATTCACTCCAACGAAGGAGACAACATGCATACACAAACCATTGCACTTCATATTCAGGAACCAGAACAAAACCCAATCCCCTTCTTCTGATCTGATTTTTCTAATAAATGAAAGTGAAAATCAGTAGAGACTTGAGCTTAACACATACGGGAGAGTAGCAATGATTTGGTGCTCCTTAAGGGAAATACATCCTAACAGACTTCTTCACCAAACTCTTTCTCTTTCATTCAAGGCTTTTAGAAGACAACTACTTTAGCTAATAGTCTTATTTCCTCGATGTTTTACATATGAAAGACACTATTTAACCTGAAGATCAGACTGCATGTTTGGCTTTCCAGCCTGACTAAAGGCCAGTTTTCAGTATCAGGCTTCTGAAACTTCCAGCGGATTTACTAATGAGTTTCTGGATAACAATGTCATTTGGCAAAGAATTTAAGAGATACAACATGAGTTGGACGTTTTCAGCTTTAACTTCTCTGTGTTTTATAAGTGAATTGTTAAAATTCAGAATGCCAGTACTCGTACAGCATTACTTAAGTCCTCCAGGACTACAGGCACTTAAAATATTTTATGATTTATGTATGAAAACAGACTTCTCAGCTGCACAGGTTCATGCCTCAGAGCCAAGGATGTGTCAAGGAAGCTTATGTGTGATGAAAAATCCCCTTGTTTTTTCAATATAAGCATCCTATGAACTCTGACATAGACAAAAAGACAAAACAGGTAAATCCCAAAGCTTCAGGGCCAGAAGACACTGACACTGAAGTCCTGAGGTGTCCTGAGTACTCAACAGGTGATATCAGGCACATAACATCTGCAATTTGGGTACCTGTAAGTTTCACCAAGTTACAGTTTATACAAAAATATTACTTGATAATATAGCATATTATGAATGGTTTCATCAGCTTCTAACCTGCTCATTCCCTGTGTCCTATAACATAATTCCTTGGTGGCCTCTATATTTTTCTCATTTATTTAACTTTTTTTGTATTTTTTTTGCATGACTGGTGGTTTATTAGATGAGAATTTCAAAGACGTGACACAGGGCATTGCAAAATGTAACAGTATTTAGTACAGCTCTCTGACTGAAGCAAAATGGGTATGTATGTTCACTTCATGGTTCTGCAGTATTTGCCTCAGTCTAATACTGACATGCAGAAGTTTCATAGTATTCATAACTCTGCCCTGAATGAAGCTAGCAATAAAACCCCCTTTCCTTCATAAGTGTAGCATAATAGGGCTTAACTCTGTTTAAGTGTTTCCTAATTAAGTTATACAAATAAAGCTGAGAATTATTTTTTTTTCTCCAAATGACAATCTGAAATCCCAGCCAAATAAGACTTAATTGCATCTTCATCAGCTTCTGAAAGATCCTTTTCCACCTCATGTTTAGGACAGGAATGAATCAAAAACAATTAGGCAGAACAATTGTAACAGCACTTTAAACTAGATTCCCTTGTGTTAACTCACATCACCTAAAAACTGACACAAGCTCAAGCATCCTCTTTTTCTTGCTGAATAAGTTCCAGGAGTCTCCACCACACTGGAATCTCAGACAAATACAGCTGAAGTTACACATAGAAGTGGAGAATACCTCAGCACTTTTAAAAACTGCCCTTTTTGCTGCAGCTAGGTATGTGCTAGCTCAGTGAATGCCCACACATTTCTGTAATACTTCCTTCCTTTGCCAGTCCACTGACATGAAATAAAAGCCAGGTCTACAGCCTTGCTTCTGACCCATTCCTACCCTTGGGGTATTTTGAAAAACAAAGTAATAGCAAATACAGTCTGTTTTGCAGGAAAAGAGGGAGCTCAGACTTGAAAAAGTTATCAAAATGCTGCAAGCATTTCATATTAAAGTCAGATTTAAATTCCAAGACAAAAAGATATAATTGCTTTTAGAAACACCAGTCTACCACAGTGCATAGACTCTTACATGGATATTCCTTTGATTTCCCTGCAGACTTGTCTTTTTCTCTTTAAATGCATCTACCACCTTCTGCACTGTTTCTTCACAGACACAAACTGAATTTTGGCATCCAAATGGCTCTAAACTAACTGTTTCCCATCTTCATGAGGGTTTTTTTCCCCTTATGTCTGGCACAGCCTCTCCCCATGTCCTGTGAACACTTGCGTGGGAAGTGCATATGGTTATAGTACCTACTATTGTTGGCAGAGATCCCCTGGACTGACCCCAGCGATTAAGCTGCTGGTGACTTCAGCAAATGAGTTGTGTGCTGTTTAAAAACATATGCAGAAAAACACTTCTTTCATCACTGTCCTCTGCCTTTAAAAGTTATGCCTTGCTGTATTATCTTTCCAATCCACCAAAGATGATTTTTAACAATCAAGTTGGAAAAGAAAGAAGTTCCACTTCTTCATCTGAACGACACACTTTAGGAAACAACTCACCAGCTTGCTCACTTTGAAGAGGAACCAAATGAGCTTCCTTTGCTCATATGACTGCCAAACATCTGCACAAAACCAAGAGCTTCCCTCCTCAGCCCTTCACCATACCCCAAACTGCGTCACTCTGCAAGCCACTCAATTCCAAACCTGTGACTCAGCATCAACTAAGTGACACAGCAAACACTTCACAGAACTCTTAAGCGTATCACAGGTATTTTCATTCTGCTTTCTACCAGGTTCTTAACTTTCTCTGCCCCTTGCACATTCAGCAGTCTGGCAAAAAACAAGTTTTCCTTACCGTTCCCCTGTGTAACCTGGGCTGCAAAGGCATTGACCTGTCGCTGAGTCGCAGGTCCCTCCATTGTGGCACTGGCACTCCTGGGAACAGTTTGTCCCATAACGACCCTCAGGACAAGGCTGACCACAGACCATGCCCTGCATGTGCAGAAAATAAATATTAATATTGGATTGGGGCTTATAGGCTGAATGGACAAGGATGAAAGGTTTTTAATGAAGGAAAATTAAGGACATCTCACATTACTTGTCTAGTGCTAATCTTGGAAATTACAGACTCTTCTCCAGCTTTAAAAGTAGGGCATTTTCTCAGCACTGGAGGAATTACCTTCTAGGATTTCCATTTTGGAAGCCAAAGCTAATGAAAAGCACTATCTCTAAGCAACACTGAAAACACTTAAGACATTTAAGGCTAATTGATGTCAAGCTCTTCCCAATTTATTTATCAGGAGTAGCATGTATCCAGACATTCAGAGATGCCCTCCTGTGAGTAGTGGTGTAAAAATCAGTAACTGCTGTAATGCCCAGTTATACTCCTTTATGATAAGTTGGTTTTGTTTATAACTCCATTGAAAGCAGCAAATCTTAAAAGCTTAGATAGGATGTCTGCTTCCTTTCAACATTGCTATATACAGTCTTAGAATTAATTACACCTGAGTAGTGAGAGGGCATCAGATCTCAGGACTTTTAAGAAGACATTTAAAGGAAAACAAATTTATAGACATTTCACCAGGCAAAATACATCTACTGCAGCTAACATAAGATAGTGCAGAACTTATACCTGGCTGGTTTAAACTTTGCTGTCATGAAAAGTCAGAAAGTTTATGCTGACAAAATTATCTTCCCTAGAACTGAAAAATCTAACATTAACAAAGAATTATGCTTTAATAACTACTTGGGAAGGAAAATTAGTCAAAGGGTTAAACAGTAATTTATTAGTTAAGACACACCCTTGTATAAAATTTCCATCACTGCTTCAGATGCAATCTTGTTTTTCATTAGCTGTATTATGGCAGATAAAGGGAGTCAAGAATTTATGCAAACATTTGTATCCTATGATCAACAATTCAATTTTTCTAATGTAAGTGGAATAAAAAGTTAAAAAAGGCTATAATCCAAGTTAGATAGTCAGGTGAGTGCTGCTATTCAAACACACAGAGATGATAATTGATAGCTATGTCCTCTAGTTGGTAAAAAACTGACCTCTGCCACAGGTTATCACAATATAATATCCCAATTATCATGAGATTAATAACAGTCCAGTAAATGTGGATTTTCACCCAAAATTTACATATAAATAGAAAACATTATGAACACATACTAATGATAAATATTATCTACAAATGTATTTAAATAAATTATTTGGGCTTTGATCACCTTCCTGTCTTTTGATGACCTTCCAGCTCCATTATTTGCCAACTCAAACTTGGCAGCCTGGTACCAGAGGAGGCTACTTGCAGCTCCAAGGTCAATTCTTCTTTCCCAACCCACTGACAAAAAGGCAGAAAGTCTAAAAATAATGTCAGAGGTCTGATGGCCCATTTCCACCAATAACATTTAAGACAGTATCTAAAGGTTTGGGGCTTTTGCCACGCGTACTATAGATACAAAACAGGCACAAAACCCACTGCTAAAATACCGAATGGTGTCACTTCTGTATATCTATCTAGAAATTAATGACTTCCAGGAGGGACCTAAAGGACGTGGCCTCATCAAGGTAGGATTCACGTCTTCTGCTTCCTAGGATCTAATATGGTTAAAATGCAGCACAGAACTGGAGGCTTCTCAGGAACAGATGGTTTTGCAAGTATTTTATTCCACTCCCTTATGCTAAAACATGTTTCTCATTACTCCTGGCTACAGGCAGGCTGCATTTGCTATTCTCATTTGCTACCCTTTTCTGAGGCTGCCTGAAATCTACAAATACGCGAGTTTTATAGGGTTGTCTCGATTTCAGAAAGTGTTTTTACCATCCATCCAGGTGGGCAGGCACACTCCCCGGTGACATGGTGACAGACCCCTCCATTCTGGCACGGGCACCTCTCCTCGCACTGCGGCCCATGCTTCCCGGGGGGACAGAGGTCCTCACAGCTGGGGAGATGGTGGTGTACAACAGAGACAACCATTACTTCGGCACACGCCCCAGTTTCCAGCCACCTTTTTATTTTTAATGCTATCATTAACTCATCTGGCCAGATGTATGGAACAGAAACCAGTCCAACATAAAGAGATGTACACTGAATATTGCAATGCGTTGAAACAGCAAATCTAAGGAAACAGACCTGGCAATCAAGGCATTATTTCTTCTTAAAAATATTTATTTATGCACCGTTTTCTGCTCATTTACTGTTACTGACAAAGATCAAAATCTATTTTGGAATGACAAAACCAAGTAACTCCAGATTTCAGTGTGTTTTTCCAAACTTGTAGCCAAACCACTTTTATAGCGGTCATGAAGAAGGTCCTGCTGCTACATTTTTTTTGCTTTTACTCAGCAGTCCGGATTGAGAGGGCTGTCTCTCAGCTACACATCTGAATGTGCACTGCAACGTGGTCTGAACAGCTGCTTCTTTGCCACCAGACCTGCTTCGCTGCATCTCACAGCAGCCGGGCCAAGTTCATCTAAACCTAACTCATCTTGTTAGCTCTATTTACAACTTATGTCTCCCACACACACAAACAATATATTGTTAATAATTTAGGTTAGATATTAGGACGAAATTCTTCACTCTAAGGGTGGTGAGGAACTGCAATGGGTTGCCCAGGGAGGTTGCTGGTTGCCCCATCCCTGGAAGGGTGGCCAGGTTGGACAAGGTTTGGTGCAACATGATCTAGTGGTAGGGTTCCCTGCTCATGGCAGGGCGGTTGGAGCTTGGTGATCTTTAAGGTCCCTTCCAACCTTAACGATGTAATGATTCTACGATCCTTACAAGGCACCCGTGTATCCAGGAGGACATCTGCACTCTCCAGTCACGTGGTCGCAGGTGGCCCCGTTCTGGCACTGGCACTTCTGGTGGCAGTCGTTGCCGTACGTCCCGTGGTCGCAGCGCTCCTCGCAGCGCCAGCCCTTGAACCCCGAGGCGCAGTGGCAGGCGCCAGTGATGGGGTTGCACAAGGCGCCGTTCTTGCACTGGCAACGGCTGCTGCAGTGAGGCCCCCAGTGGTCGCTGTCACAGGCTGAAACGGCAGGAGGAAAAAATAAGTACAGAGGTTTCGTAACAGCCCTGGGCACTTACAGCACGGAAGGTACTGTGAGCCAACTGTAAAAGAAAAAGAAGTCACAAAATGAAAACAGTTACGTGGTACATCCTCAGCTCTCCCTGGTCCTCAAGGATCTTGGTGGGCAGATGGAACTTAATTTATGCACACAAATTAATTTCTTATGCATAAAAGCAAACACTTTAAAATGTGAAGCTGTGAAGTAAATGCAAGCTCGAGCCTCTGTATTGTCAAAACCCTTCATTGTGACTTTACAGCATTAAGTAACAGTTACGGCTGCAGTAAGCTTCCATTTAGACAGAGAAGTCTTGCTAGCTTCAAAAAGTAAAAAGATACAGTGTAAATAATAAGCAGTCTGAATCCCACACAAAAAATGAAAAGCTTACTCAATACAAGATTATATTTTTTTTTTAATCCAGAAGGTCCTACCTGTCTGAATTATTGCAAATACTTTTTCAATCTTGCAATATACTGATAGTGCAAAGAAAACACACAAAGTGTAACACCAAGCAACAGAAATTAAGAATTATATGGCTAAACTTAATCTGGATGTTACGAATTTGGTTATCCAATTTGTCTTCATGATCATTCAAATGATCATGTTTTTGTCTGGCCCAGTGCAGCCATTAAAACCCTGCAAGCAAGCCACTCAGATCTCAGCATCAAAAGAAAAACCATAATGTTAAGGAAGAAATTTTTCTGAAGTGAGAAACGTGGCAGTACTGTAAAAAGCCAGAGGATGAAGGTCACCTAGAATTCAACAGGAATGTGTCAATCATATGGTCAAATGATCTGATTTCATTTTTACGTTCAGGTTGATAACGGCGCAACGGGAAAGCCCCAGTTGCAGCGACTGGAAGCTGGGGCTCTTCTCTTGGAGACTGACAACCATTGTTCTCCCAATCTTCTCCTGGGGCAAAAACGGCAGGCAGAGAACAGGCCCACTTTCCAAGACTAATGCAAAGTAATTCAAGAATCCTCCTCAGGGTACGAATTACTGAATTACAGGAGCTGTTCACTCAGGCTACACAAACAAAAAGGGATTAGTGTCTTTTAAAGAACCTACTCTCTAAGATTTATTTTTTTTTTTCCAAGACAGGACACTAGAACATGCATCCATAATGGAGATATTGTGAGCTACACACAATAAAATACATAGCGATAGAATGTATTATGTGTTTAATAGACACCCAGCAATGCTGTCAAACTGACAGAACAGCTGTCTGTCTTGTTATTGACCTCTTTCTTTGAAGATGTGTGGGTTTTGTTCTGGACTGTACCAAAAAGCACTGCTGCCTATAGCACACAGCACTTCACAAGCTGCCTCTTCTCATGGTAACACACATGCATTCACAACTGCTGTATGTTTATTTTTAACATGTTTGCATGGAATAGGAAGTGTAATCTTCATACTTAACCAGTCCTCCAATTGTTGTCAGAAAACTAGTTATTTTGAGATGTACATAAATATATATATGGGTGGTGAGACATCTGAGACAGTCACATATTCTATCATGATTGAGCAGACACCTCTACTTTTCTTTCTGCTAAACACATTAGGTTGGATTCAGATATTCATCTTCCCTCCTGCTCCCACACAAAAAGCACCAATTTCCATTTCAGCCATTCCTCATGGCTGATTAATAGGAAAATATAATAAATTAAAAAAATTAAAAACCTGTCCTGCCATGCTTGTTAAACAGAATTATTTAGACTGATCAGCAGACCACAAGTGTTCCAGTGTAAAGCTCAGTCAGGAATAAGTGTGGCCTGAACACACTCTAGATACAAAGACATGACAGACAAGACAGAACGTCCTGGTTGATAAGCACAAGCTTGTGTTCTTTTGCCAACAGCTGGAAATGGGATATTTGGTGCAGTGCAACCACATTCAGGTAGCTGCTTGAAGACCTGGTGTAATAAGTCTCAAAGCCTCACTGACCAGAAGCATCTACTACCACGTATCTCCCACTGCATCCAACACCAAGGCATCAAGCCTGCCTTGCTAGAAATGGTCTCACTTGTGAAGCAGCAGAGGCCTTGTACTCCCTCTTGCTCTTTTTGGAACCTCACTCCCACTCTGCCTCCCTAGGATGCACCCCACTGTCTCCTGCAGATTTACACACACCCAAGGTGAACAGACTGTGCCTGTGAACTTGAACCTTACTCAACTGCTTTACTGTAAGAGCATGTACTGCAAGGTACATAATGATATATTAGTTTCCTGGCGTGATCTCCTCACGATGTTTGCAGGAAAGCATTAAAATAAAAAGCATCATATGGCTGCTAATAGGATGTCCAGTCTCACAAGCATTCTCCTGGCAACTGCCAGGTGGGAAACAAATATTGACTATGCAATTGTTCACTACATCATGACAGCAAAGCATAGCACCAGGACAACGGCAGCCCCACCAGTGCACAATAGTCCTTTGGGCAAAGTCTGTTAATCTGTGAATTATGGGCAGACCTGCAGAGAAACCTGCAGGATTAATGGGAATAAACTGTAGTTTTGAATTAGATGGATAAATAAAATATTTTACCCCTGTGTCCTCTGATGGAAAATCAATAACGCTTCCCATAGGAAATGAATGTGATTTGTCAGAAACTGAAGCAGAGTTTGTTACTAAAAAAAAAGAGGGTAAAAGGGTGGAGATGTTTCCTGTGGAGAGTTTGGTTTATTTTCAATTAGTTTTGGAGGCTAAATTTACCAACTGTTACACCAGACTACTTCTGCTCTTCCTAGTATTCAGACACTAAGAAAGCCTGGCTGAAAGCTGCACAGCTGCTAATCTGGTGGAATGGGATAGTCTTTGAGTTAATGACTATCATCAGGTTACTGACAGTTAGATGGAGTTTAATCAGAATAGCTTCTCTGACTGTCCTGACTGCATGAAGGTCACAGGCACTAGAGCACATACAAACACTACATGCAGCCACACGCAGAAGTGTCAGCTACTGGCTCTTGATCAGATTTGGAGCTGTAAATCATCTGTCTTCACATGTGGCACATGTGAAAGGGAAGCAAAGTATAGAGACGAGCCCTATGATCAGGATGGTTTCGACACAAGGACAATGCATCTCCACCCCAGTAACTCCTCAGACTCTGAAGCCAGCAGAAATGCAGAACTAAATCAGCAAATCAGGGTTAATTTTCTGTACTGATCATAAAGAACTGGCCTAACGCTGCTCTGTTTTATGCAGAGCACCTTCCTTATAAAAGCTGTTCTCCTCCCCCTTTTCATGGATGTTATATTCACACTCAGGTTTTCCTGTTTTAAACAGAAGAACCAGCTAGTTGTACTTTCCCTGTAAGCTTTCACAAGAAAGTGAGAAGGTTCTTTCTGCCTTCACCTCATGCTGTAGGGGGAAAAAAATAACCAAAGTAAATGTTTAACAAACACTGTGGCATTAATGCCACATGTTGTAATTTTTCTTTTTACACGTCTGTTCATCTGGGAATATATTTTTTGTCATGGCAATACCTGCTGTGCACATCACACAATGCTGCAAATACAGGACAGAGAACGTTCCTTGCTAGACAGTAGCCAGTGAAAGCAAAAGTTTGCCTTTGGGAACAAGGGCAGTGCATTGTATAAACCCTCATTTAAACTCAGTGAATCTCCTATGAAACTCTTAGACAATGCACATCTAACCATAAAGAAATGCTCACTAAAACTGAATGCCAAAAAATTACTTCAGCAACACACTGAAGCTCAAGGATTCAAAGGTGAAAAAAACACCTTCAAGAAGAACCTGCTACCTGTGATTGAAATTGCTATCATTTCAGGGCCTTTTGTAGCATCTTTGAAGATTTAAAGTTCTGTATTCTCTAGTGTAATCCTTTTAATGCACATTGTTACTTTGTTGGGCTAGGTGTGGTTTTATGCACAGGGCTTCTGGTGATTTGCCTATCAGGATGGAGGAAGCCCTGATATTTGACAGCATAAGGTATGAATTTTTATAATAATCTGAAGCACATATGTAGAGTTTGGTAACTCCTTTACTGCTGTTTATAAACAAAGACATCACCTACAACTCTGTACCTCTCTAAAGAATGGCCTATAATGAGAACATAATAAGGCTATCAAATCAAGTCAAAGAACAATTCAGAAAAAAAACAACCCACGACCTTCTGAGAGTCTCTAGCTTAAACTATAATTTAAGTATGCCGCAGTTTCCTCATAACATAATTTTTAAGTCAGACAATGTTTATTCTAACAGTTTAAAAAGAGTTTTTTGCTTTGTTTGGGGGGTTGCTTTGGGGGTTTTTTTGCTAATGGGGAGGTCAAAGTGAAGAATCACACCAAAACTAAGATTTACTCTTCTTGCTGTTATTTTTTTGTACTTGTCTTACATGTAGCACCAAGACAACTGAATGAGATTTTATCCTGGTTTACACATCTTTCTGCAACACACACTGCTGTGTGTTTCTGGAAACATGTACCATAATAATCAAAACAGAGGAGACTCTTGCTGCAGCATTAGGCTTACGTATTTTCATGGTCCTCCAAAACAACTGAAAACAAAATTCCCTACCACAGAGAGCAGGAAGAGTGAACACTCTCTCACTTCTAATGCAATACTGTGAAGTACAGATTTAAAATAAGCAAACAGTGGCAAATATGCAGAATTCCTATTTCTTTGTCTCCTCAAATCTCCAACATAATTTCTTCAGATAGGTTCAAGGAGCCACAGCCTTTAGTAAGAGAAAAGTTTATTTTCCTGCTCAAGAATATAAAACAAACTGAAGCTGCCCATAACTTCAACATCATCTTTGACTGACCTTTCTTCCTTTCTAAGCTGTCACATCAAGGACAATTCTAAATCTTTGTGCCTTTTTCTGCATCTCTCCCTTGACTCTCAGCGCTCTAGTGCCTTGTCCTTGCTTCTGTGTCCTTACTTCTGTAGCCTTTATTCTGTGGCCTTTACGGTCTATACCTCATCTATCATTTCTTACT